TTACAATGAATACAACTCATAGTGAGACCTGTCAGCCTCGATCCACTGTTTCTTTAATCTGATAAGTTATTGAGCCACGTTTTATTAACATATACATGTAGTTTTTACCTTTCCAAGTTTCACCGCCGTCGTTGCTTCCTCTGCAATGACTTTCAGATCTGAACAAGAAATACACATAATTTTTGAAATTGTTGACATTGTTGTTACATTATTATCACAGCATATATCCTAACTTATTTTATGGTGCGTACAAAAACAGTTCTGGATGTCTTTCCACTTGATATAAAATGATTGTTAAATTAATGGATTAAGGCAAAATAACTACCGATAACTAAATATGGGCGCTTTCCATTGGAGGAAATATTTCGGTTTGAATTTCCGGAAATTCCAGTGAGAAGTAGAAAGGCATTTTGCGGAAATTCCGAAAAAGACGACAACCTTGCGAGGTATACCGAAATTTTTGGAAATTTCTTACCGTAAACTTCGGTTCGATTTTGACTTTCCTCTCGGAATTTCCCGAATTTTCGGTTCAATGGTTCGCTTTTCGGAAATTCAACAATTTCCGGATTTTCTGGAAATTTCCATACCATTTGCCCCTGTTTCGAAATGTTTGGAATCTTTCGGAGCTAGATTCATATGGCAAATGATTCGAATTTATTTCCAAACGACAGCAACGCTCATAGTTTATCCACCACGTTTGGTAATTACTACAGGTGAATAAATTCCAAATAAATTAATTACTATACTATAAATGTATCAAAAGAAACAATTACGAGTCGTGTGATTAAGCATAACGGTTTCCTACTTTTTAACTTCTGTTTTACAAGCAAACATCGTATTGGTAGATTCTTCCAGCAGAAAACTTCGTGCGAAAATAACTGGACTTTCAGGATCTACAAGAGATAAATTGTTTTGGTTAGTAAATAGATAAACGAATGAAAAAATGAAAATATCTACAACTACTAAATGTCGATGGTAATTATCACGCCAATGACGAGGTTAGATTTCAACGTATTCAGTAAACAGCTGCGGAACATAACGGCTTCAAGCAATGAGGACTTGCAATCAAAGCCGAGACTGTCGAAAAGTTCAGAAATATTTCTGGTTTACATCTTTTGCTGCTGATTGGTCAAAGAAACATCATCTCTCTGATCCATTAACTGATGTTCTTTGTGTGAGTTTCAGAGGTCAGTGATTAATATTAATTGTGCACAATACTAATAGGCCTTTGTTATTGGAAAGGAATAATTTGAAACGGTTCAGTACGGTCTTTGACTGCCATTCAAGGAAGAACGACTTCTATTTATTTTCTTTTGCATTTACCGGGATTTGGGTACCAGAAGAGTTCCACTCTCATACACGCCATGTTGTTACACTCGTCCGTCTGAGGTCGAAATCGAACAAAGTGCGCGTGAACTGGGAACAACAGTTTGTGTCGAACAGCCAGGTTTCGCACAGGACTTCCCACAAAAAGCTAAAAAGAAATCCAGAAAAAGGAGGTCTGTATTTTTTTCTTTTTTTTG